ACCGGAAGCCCTCCTTCTGGGGGCCTACGAGGCCAGGAGTGAACCACCGGTCTGAAGACCGGTGCTCCCCGCCCGAGGCTCCCCGTGTGCTGGGTGCCCTCCCTCCGGGAGCCTATGAGGCAGGAAGCTAGCCAGCCAGAAGACTGGCACTCCCTGCCCGTGGCTCCCTGTGTGCTGGAAGCCCTCCTTCTGGGGGGCCTACGAGCTGGAGATGTTTTAACAAGCATTCCTTCAAAAGACTTGAACGTGAGCCGTTGATAGCAGGTACTTGAAACAAAATTTGAAAATAGTCACAGGAAACAGGAAAACGTAAGATCTCTATAGAGCCACCTTTTCAGCCAGAAGGAAGCAACAACTAGGAAAACTCACTGCTCCTGACAGCTGTTACAGCCTCATGCAGACAAAATGAACCAAAGAAACCAAGAAAAAATAAAAAGACAGTGCTTCACGTTTGGAGTTGATGAACAGTCTCTGTGTGGACGGTGCTTAGCTGCCAACCACAACCACGTGCAACCCAGAACCATGTGAAATATTATTGTCCTCATTTCCCCCGTCTTCTCCCCCTTGCTTCCTACTGTCTCCCTCCAATCTGTAGGTTCCTCTCCCTCCTCCACATCAGCAGAGCCCGCCACCTGCCCATGGTCTCCCCTTTCTACTGATAGTGCAGGAAACACAGACCAAGGCCGCCCAAGCAGGCATGCACAGAGAATCAGGTGAACAGGCCTGGGGTGAGAGGGCAGGGGCTGGCAGACCTCATGTGCTACCCAAATCCTCTGCTCGCCCGCCTCCCTGGAAATCAGAGCACAATGGTCCTCTCTCTTCCTTACAAATGATGCATTGTATGGACTTTTGACATCCACGACAGCAAAAATGTGAGATGTGTATCCATCATTGCTCTCAAGCACAAGGTCAACGTGTTACCGGGAGCGTCTCACAGCTCTGTTCTGTCTCTAGGCGTTCCAAAGTTGATCACACCTGATATGGTTAAAGAAGGTGCTGCTGTGATTGACGTGGGCATCAACTGCATCTGCGATCCCATGACAGCAAAGACAAAATTAGTTGGTGATGTGGACTTTGAAGGTAAGAAACAAAATCTGTTTTGATGAACGAAAGGAAAAACAAATCCTAACTCACCTGTTTTGATAGTCGAGAGAGATGCTTTCTATTTGGTGGTGAGATGAGGAAAGTAATGATCACCCCTTCTTTCCTCTTAAGGAAGCATTTGGTCATCCTTCTTCCTGCCTCCCTCCTTCTTCCATGCCTCCCTCCCTCCCTCTGTCCTTCTCTCCCTCCTACCTCCCTCCTTTTCTTCTCTTCCTTCCTCCCTTCAAATTATAGTACTTGGCTTTAGGCTTAAATTTCCTTAGTGCAGTTTTTAGTGAAAGAATCCGGCCGGCCTTCAGTAGACCTGCATGTTATTCTGGCTATATGGCAGTGGCTGCTTAGCTATCCTTAGCCATTTCTGCCCTGTGCTCACCAAGACAGCTGCCTGGGTAACTAAAGCTGATGCTTTTCCCTTGTGTTTAAAGAGGATGAGGAGGAGGACCTGGTGTCAAACTTGCACAGCTAATGAGGCTTTAAGATAGCAGTGTGTAGTAGTAAAAAGCAACTCTAACCCATGGCAGATGCGTTTCTTAGATGCCTGGCTCCTAAACCAGTTTTCATGTGTCTGTGTCGGTTTTTTACCCACATTTAGGAGCCCTAGCTGGCTAGGAAGGTATGAGGATGGTGAAGTGCATGGGGACATTTTCATATTGGAAATGTGTGCACCTGTGCATATCGTGTGCAACTGCTGAGATTCTCACAGAATGACCTCGTCTCTTTGTCTTTCATGTTCCCTCACTCCAGTGAATATCCGTGATTTATTTCAATTTCTTAACTCCACTGAGAAAAAAAATGCATCTCGTCTTTTCTGACTTGTTCCTTTTTGCCCTGCTATTCTATTTCTTAGGAACATTGTCACTCCTAAAAGTTTCGTGCAGAATCACACCTAATGTACATAGATGGCGCTGACAGCCTTGGGCGAACCTTTTAGAGCTTTTAATGATACAAACAACCCACTGTGGATGTGTGCCATAGGTTCACCACCACTGGCATGAGGAAACCTGCTCAGAGCAGGCAGAGTGGGGACTTGCATAGTGCCTAGCCTTGGCCACGTCTGAGGCAAGCTTACCCTGTGGCTCACCACGTTTTTTTT